CTGGGCTAACCGTGGCGTTTCTTGGAACGGCTATTCTTCAGCAGTGTACTTGTGATGGGCTGAAATGATGGTGATGATGAAGACTACATTTTTATAGCTTTAAATCAATAAGAAGTTAACTATTAATATAATTATAAACTATTAATGTAAAGAACTATTCCGTTCCATAACATATTGCCGTGTGGTCGCGGCGTAAGAGAGTTCATCACCCTATTTCGCACCTTAGGTGTCGTAAGACTGCAGGCGAAGGAAATGCCAGAAAATCCTGTAGCTTCCGATAAATGGTGACATAACCATCTTCTTTTCCCCATATGTAATAGCTTCAGACGGGCCACGGGCACTAGAGTTTAAAGATGTAAAACATCTACTACTGCGATCCTTTTCTAGCTGTGGGCTTTAAACTGATGAGAGAGAATGAAGAAGTGATTTATAATTTGTGACTCATAAATATATATAAATATTTAAATTATCATATGACAACGAAATTATTCTTTAGTCAACACGTTGACAATTTTAAATGACTCATAAAAATCAATGTTTATTCGGAGTTTATAGAGAAAATTACATCTTATAAGCGCAATATTGATGAATTATGAATATCGGTATAGAGAAAGGCATGACTGATGCCTCCGGGACGTAAGTCGACCGCGTCGTGTTTTACCGCATAATTTCAAATCGTCAATTTGTTTCGCCGCACAATAAAAGATTTCCCTTGAGGGAAACTGACCTTCCCCTATGGGTTATTAGGTTGTGGGATGGTTGATATGGTCGATTTAAGGTCGAAGCTGATACGACGTCAGGTAGAGATAATATTTTAAGTTGCAATCGCCTGGCAGTTTAGTTATCGTATAGATTTTTTTTTTATATAGGATAAGGGTGACAAACGAGCACACAGTCCACCTGATGGTAAGTGGTTGCTGCGGCCCATAGACATCTACATCTATCCTCTGTTACAAATCAAAATGTAGATGCGTTGTCACCCGTGAGGACTAAGATGGAATGCCTCATTTCCAGTAAAAAGGGCCTCCGGCCACCTGCACTCACCAAGCGAAACGCAGAGGTAAACCTCTACTTCACGCTGGTTTTCTGTGAGGTCGTGGTACTACCCCGGTTCGAGCCGGCCCATCCGTGCGACAATAAAAGCTGCCGCGTGGCTCTACCACTGTTAAAAATAAGTAAATTGAAGTAAAATGGAAAACTGATCACGTTTTGAGACACTTTTAAAAGTTCAATTTACGAGACGTATGTTAATATTTTTTTTATTATTATTTCGACGTTGTCCTGTTTATTTACTTTAATAAATTACTATTCATGATTTCTTGTCTTTTATGAGGTTTATTTAGAAAAGGTTATGATTTTTTTTCTGGCTAAAGGCATTTTACATACAAAATTTGCACTTGGACAAACATCAGGACCAGGATCAATTATAATACAAATAAAATAACTATTCCGTAGAGGATTCAAACTCGCGACCCCTACGCTATCGCAGTACTACACTACCGCAGACACAATGCTATCGAGCCTTTATAGTTTCTGTACTTTATTTTCATGTTCTTAATATCTGCAGAAGTAAAAACCAGAGTCGACAAGGGACACCCTAGATCTAGACGGATGTTGACTGACCTAATTTGCAATATATTGAAGATGAGCAGAATTAAGCGCACCGTTAACCGATGAGCATGTATACGTAGATTATGGATGTGAAAGAAGCGATAGAGAGGTGTGTCAATATCGTGCCAAGTGGAAATCCGTAGTCTCTCACACCTCTGGGTGTTAGGCGTGCTAGTTTATGTATATATATCATGTTTGAAATGTGAATCATTATTACATGCATTTATTTCCATCACAGCCTAGTCTAAAAGTCCGCTCCTGAACACAGGCCGCCCTCATAGATTGTATCAATGGGGGTATATTTGCTATAATTGTCACGCTTGGCAGTTTTTTACTATTATTTTGAGTTGTACATCATGCCCATCCTATGTTCCATTTCCCTTTGTCGCATCCACGGGATGATATGGGCTAGTGATGGTGGTCCTCTTAAGCCGCCGCTACACTGCATTAACGGTATGTCATTATAATATTATTATAAAAGATTTTTATTGTATTTTTAATTGATACTCTTTATTATAAGTTCTAGCCTTGTTTACAATTAATTAAACGTGATAGAGCCACGCTGCAGCTGTATTATAGTAGCAGCACGAATGGGTCGGCTCTACCGGGGAGGGACCACGCTCTGTCAAAGAATATCAGCATAATGCTTTTTTGTTTCTCATGGTGAGTACTGAGAACCTAAGTCCCGTTTTCACTGGTAAGGGAACCTAAGTCCCGTTTTCACTGGTAAGGAAACATTTCATCTATAGATAGATAGGCCACAGCAATTACTTATCACCATATAGACTGTGTACTCGTTTCTCAACCTTATTTATATAATATAGATTCTATATTTTAATAAGAAATTAAAGGTGTTAATTCTTATGTAATGAGATCGATCTCTGTTAATCCAGACTTCAACATCCAGATTGTAACTGGATCTGTTTATGTGGTGTTTGTTTGTGTGTGCGCGTGTGAACTTCTTAAATTAGTGAGTTATTTCATTTCGCACATCTCGAGAAAACACATACCTAATGATGTCGGATTTAAACTAGTTTTTTTCCACGTGATTCAGTTTTTATTATATCCGAATACGATTTGAAATAATTTATTAATTTTAAATTCAGATTTAAAAATGTCATGGAAAAAGACTTATAGTCCAATTGGGTAGATCGATCCTCAATTATATTTATTTTTATTTTGTTGTTTTTGAGAATAAATTTACATTATTTTATTGTATTAATAATAATAATAATAATAATAATAATAATAATATTCCACAACTATCAAACAACGCCATCTAGTCCCAAGCTAAGCAGAGCTTGTGTTATGGGTACTAGACAACTGATAAACATACTTATATATTTCTAAATACATAAATATTATAGATAAATTACACCCAGACACACAGAACAAATGATCGTGCTCATCACACAAACATTTGTCCTGGGTGGGAATCGAACCCACGACCTCCGGCGTAGCAGTTAGGGTCACTAACCACTAGACCAACAGGCCAGTCAAAGTCAGTTGTTTTTAAAGTATCAAGATGTTTGCGTGACTATTTACATTATGTATTTTAACACAACTATCGTAACATTTTGTTTCGACTATAACAAAATAAACAAAAGTTGAGTTAAATAAACAAGTTGTTATTACAAAAAGATTATTTATATTTATTGATTCAAAACAGTCTTACATCTAATACTAAATTATAAAGGTATCTTAAGCTTTATACAAATAAAGCGAAGATATTTTTCTTAATTTAATTTTCCAATGTTAATCAAACCAGTAATAACTTAATGCAACTAGGTTTTACCGACTCAGTAAAATTTAACACATTGGGAATGAAATCGGCCATTGTTGTCATATTATAATTATATGTAATTTCATATGTATTTCTTAAAAAGAAATATAAAGAATTACTTAGCCTGAAATATTTACATTTGAACTTTGTAAAATTATCATTACTAGATCATTTCTAAATTACCAACACTAATGCAAAATACCCCTTTGGTATGTATGTATCAATAAAACCACTTGAATTTTGGACGTCTGATCAGATGCAACGTTCAAAAAGAGATATAAAACATTTAATTGTTTGCCTATGAAAAATGACCATTATACACAGTAACTATTTCATTTTTATTATCATCATTACAACCTTAAAAAGTCCACTGCTGAAAATAGACCTCCCCCGTAAATTGCCTCCTTGTACCCTTGACGAGCAGTCGCAAACCGCAGTTTTTCTATTATTTTAAATTGTTATCAGGAAAAAACTGCTGCCTGTCCCATATTTCAGTTTGCCTCTGTTGCCTCTTACAACGCCCATGAAATGATTCGGGGTTTTTATTATAAACATATTATTTGATTGGAGCTGTATTTGTCCATACTTTGTATTATTCAACATAGCTTTTGAACCTTAAAAATTATGACAAACTCATAATTGAAATTCATCAGCAATTAAAGCTATAAAAATTATGTACTGTTTGTAAATTAAATAATATAGACACTCTAATTATAATAGCAAGTAGCTTTAAATTGTTGTAAGAACAATGTCATACATCACCAAAGCAATATAAAATAATATCACAATTTATTGTCACAGTTACAAACTATATACACTGTGATGTTTAGTATCGATACATATAACATATTATGTTGTATTCTATCAACAGAAAGTTCGCATGCAAATGTTTTGGCGGAAAAACATATTATGAATGTAACAATAAAACAAACACTAATATTAGCTGAAACTTTAAAAAATATTATTGAAAAAATCTTGAAAGTTATTGAAACTGTTTTATGCATCGATACCATACAATTCCACGCAAATTAGACTAAAATAAATACAAAATGGTACATTTTACAAATCCTATTGCTAATATCAAAACACTATGAAATACACTTCGCGTTCAAAATTGTGTTGAACAGCATGTTAAGAGTTGCGCTTTATATTTGTTTAAAAAATTACGTCGCCGCACATGATAGAGTGCACGTGTTTTGTGTTTTGTTAACAGAATAGCGACTTCAGATATAACAAACACAGCTGCACGAACGGTCTGCTTAGAGAAAAATTCTAAAAGCAATGTCGTCAATATTATTAAGATGCAAAAGTATGCTTATGATAAGCATGTTATACTAAGATCACGGTTTACAGTGATTGCATTTGGTATTCAAGCGATACTATATCTTCTTTAATACGCAACTTCTTAATGTTCCTTATAGTTTTTACTATAATTTAATTCTACTAATTCGAAAGTAATTTTCTTATTACTATATTTCAATGTATTAATACTTTTGGCTTTTTTGATTAAAAACATTCTTAATTAAATCGCCAATGAGCGCTTACTACATTTAAGGAAATGCAATAACTTGAGCAACTTAAACCATAAAAACTACAATCTAAGGGTTTAACTTTTTGACGAGAATATGTTAAGAAATTTCGTCTTTATGTTCAATAACGTCGTAAGGGACCTCTTCACTTTCTTCTTTGGCATTCGTTCCGGGCAAAGAAACGGTTCTGAATATGATTTCTGCAAGCCTGAACATACTGGCATGTCCGGTTCCTTAGGGATTTGATACTTGTACTCCTTGACGACTTTTTCTTCCGTTGGATCGTATCGGTAAAGGACTGAATATGTTCGCTTGACTTTCTTGTTCACTCGAGGAACGTTAGCGGTTCTGTCGCTCTTGCAACGCTTGACCTTGTTCCTTCCATAATAATCTTGATAATGCTCCGCATCAACGTAAATAATTCGTTTGCCTAAAGCCAGTTCTCTCTCTTTCTTTAAGCTCTTCCATGAAGCAATGACAGATTCGCGGCGAAATGTTTTGTTAGGATTGTGGCGGCTTATGCAGAATGAGTGCTCCTCTTGAATATTCGAAGTATCTTTCAGAGGTGATCCTCTTGGACTCGGGCTGTAGTCAACCTCGTAGTCGTCTCTCGACACCTGGAATGAAACAAATCCTTTTGATCAAGAAGTTAAGGTTACAGTCGGATATAAACATATATCCTTGTCTATCTTTGGATCTATTCTGACAGATGATAGACCGTCGAGATTATTACAAGTTGAAAATAACGTTATCAATATGCTTGACTTTGAAGTGTAATACTAAGTTCACCCTATCTTTGTCTACCACCTCAGTAACATATTCTATCTCTATCTGGTACGTCATTGAAGCCCTTCGCACGATGCCCACATGTCTGATAACACCTGTCGCCCAAGACATATGTTCTAGTCGCTGGAACTTGGCAATATTACGTGAACCCGCTGTTTAAATTATTATTACATTCGACAGTGAACTGTCAGGGAACTTTATATTGAAACAAAAGAATAATCGTTTGCAATGAATTTTAATGGCGTCAAGGTCTCTAGATCCTGGTTTCTATAAGCAAACGCCAACGTGATAGTTTATATCACGTTTAGAAATATAATTAGGTCGATGTAGGTATTACGAAATGAGATTTAACTTTTTAAATTATTTTTAGATTACCCTTCGAAAACTATTGATTGTAGAAAATTTCGAGTATACGACTCTATAAAATTTCATAACATTTAAAACATTTTATGCGTTCTGTCCTGTGTTTGATTAAATTTAATTTTGTGATAGTTTCACAAATCTTACTATGATATACTCGTAGATACAGTAACTGACAATAAAATGGGACACTTTAAAACTAACTGTTACAAGTTATTTAGAAAACTGTTTAGCATTATATGTATACTTTTTAATGTTGGTCATAACGTGGAATGTCAATTAGTACATGTCAAATTATTAACCCGATCTATTGGTGTTGACTTATTAGAACGCATTTATTTAAAAATTTAAAAGAAAATATAACGAAAATGAGAAACACCTTGATAAAAGACGATTTTTCAATGCCCTCGGTTTCTGACACGAAGAATTTGCTTAAAAGTGTGTTGTGACAGTCACAGTTTTGTAACATTTTTAAATGGATTTATGTAAAAAAAAAAACAACCGATGCAATGTTGCGAATTTAGGTCGCAAGGAAAATGGGGTCATGTCAAAATAGTTGTTCTATTAGTGTATTAGTTAACACGGTACAATTAAAGCGCATAAATTAGTCGGACGCAATATAGGTTGTAAAAATGATATTTTCATTTCTTTATTCTTTATGCAACATTAATACAGTAACCTTGTTTTTTGTTTCAGGTAATTTATCCCGCTAGATAATAATGAGGCGAGTCTTATCCACATTATGCTTTCGGGCTTTTTGCCCGCCCTAGTTCATGTAACACATTACGAATGCTTGTTACATTTCTGTCTAAACGTGCATATTCCTGGTTATTTGTGGACGTTATTATAAAGCTGAAGGTAATAGTACTAAAAGGTTTGAGTTAATTTTATCGTTGTCTATTTTAAACAATAGTCACGTTGTTCAATGCAACTTCTAATAATATTTACGCGGTGTATTATTAGCCAAAGCCTTCGGACTCGCTACATACTTCTAAATTTAATTTAACCGTATTAAAAGTTTCAATCCGATAGATTTCTATTCTGATCGTCTTCAGAAATAGTAATAAAAATAGATATAAATAAAAAAGTAAAACAAAAGCAGAGCATACGACTTTTAAGGGCTAGTAAAAAAGCAATAATGGACGGCCGCTTGGCGTGCGATGGTGTATCAGAACCCATCACCGCTTTTCATCCTGTGGGTGTCGTAAGAGGTGACAATGGGAAATTTCAGGCAGAAAAAGGTTATAGAATATAGGTGTCAAACGAACACACAGTCCACCTGATGTTAAGTGGTAACTGTGGCCTATAGACATCTACATCTATCCGCTATTAAGAATCATAATGTCAACCCTGAGGACTAAGAAGAATTGCAATTTACTAGTTTAGAAGGATCTAGGATAGGTTCTCCACATTACCATACGAAACACAACAGCATTAAGCTACTATTTTACACTGGTATTCTGTGAGAAGGTGGTAGAGCCGAGCTCGTGCTACAACAATGTAGCTGCAGCGTGGCTCTACCATGTATAACGTTAATGACGTTACTCGCTCAGTGTTATTTTTTGTGGATCAAACGGTAAAACGGAATGTTTAGTCATTTCATAAACACGCATACTAACCTCATTATCTTAATTAAGAATCGCTTTTTTAAAATGTTACCGAACGTAATGATTTGTTTTTTCCGCATAATAAATCTCCTTTGATAAAAATCACAAGGTGCAATGTTTTCCCTTTATATTTATTTTGTGCTAATGGAGTAATTCAATATCATTCGTTGACAGCCAAGTTAAACATGTAAAAAATAAATGTTTGATTCACATTAGTCATACAAAATTATTACGAATATATAAAAGTATACCCGTATTGTGAATTCTCGATTTTGCTTAATAAAAGGTAGTTTTTAAAATTTAATTTAAACGCGAATTGACCACATGAATAGTAATTTTGACTTCAAGACACAAATTTACATTTTTATATACCTAAATCTTTATTTTTATTATCATCAGTACAATTCACAGCTGGGCATGGATTCTTTTGTGGATATTGAGATTTTCGCTCTCGAACCTTAGATTTGCTCCCTCAGGAAGGTATTTTGCGGCTACCAGGCATAAATTTTTGGAAATCATAAGATCTTGCTAATATTCCCTTGGATACCCTTACGACACTAATATAATGAGATGGAGCTATGAATTCACATAGTAAGTACCTCATGGCGAATGGTAAATAAACTAAAGTAAATCACTAATATCTGTTTGTAACTTTTTAAATAAACTTTAGAACTCTGCTCCGCCCACTAGTAGGTCGGAAAACGATATCATTTTGAAAAATCACTCTAATTCCAAGACCTAAAACAGTATAATGAGATAATTACTGAATTACTATTTATTATTACTATTTAAACAGGAGCATTTTACCGGGATAAAAAGCAGCGCATGTCACTCTACGCCTCATAAACTATCTCTATCCGAAAAATAAAGCCGATTAGTTGTCGCGTTGTTGCGTGAAAGAAGTACAAACCAACAAATCTACTTTCGCATTTATAATATTAAAATAAATAAAATACTCAACCATTAAATTTTGTGACATTGTTAGTTTGCCGTTACAGACATACAAGCCTTTATTAAGCGTTTTTTATTACTTTGGGTAGTAGACATTTGTTTGTGTAAATAAAACGTGTGCAAAGTTTACACGTAACTATTTCAGTACATCAAAAACCTAGGCCAGTGGCGTATTAAATAGAACAATATCGACCGTTCACTATTTTCGTTGGTTCAAGTACAAGCGGTCTATTCATAGAGCCGTTCGATACGCTTTATTTATTGCACAGTTAAAGGTTAATAACCTAATGTTAAGTTTTGGTGACATTGTAAATCAGTAGTGTGACGAATGCTCTATGATTCGCTTTCAGTGGCGCCCACGTGAATATTCGTTCTTACACCTAATTTCCATGACTAATAAAACTCTTAACACTTTTCTATTGCACCATTTATGTTTTTTTTGCAATTTATTTCGTAATAGTACTCTTTTCTGTCTCGGGTTTCGCCTGGTTTTACATCTCAGGTAGCAGAGCACCCACTGCTGTCGTCAGTTCCGCCTTATCCATTTATCAGGTGGCTATTAACGCGTTTGTCACGCTAATCTTATAAAAAAACGTTAGAAATGATTACATATGCAAGGCAATATAGATCACTGTCCGGATAAAGGCCAACGTACTGGCATGTGCTTCATTTTTTTTGCCAATAATTTGTTCAAATGAAACGCAAATTTATTTTCTAGTGTGTGAAGTCACGACTGACAAATTAGTGTAAAATGAAAAAAAAATCATAATCGTGTTTAATAATTATTCTCTTTATTGATGTATATAAACTTTGAAAGAAGGATTTTTTATTGCTATTATAGAAAAGTACAAAAGCGAAGTAAAGGCACCTTATAAATTTAAGCAACATTTTTTTAAAATAGAAGTAAGGATTACAAGCGAGAACATAGCCCACAAGAACATTCTTTGACCCATTGACACCCATATATATTCTTGATTAATAATCAAAATATAGATGCGTTGTCACCCCTGATCACTAAGATAGAAACCTCCTCACCTCTTAAATAGTTCTCTGTTTCTCTATACAGTTAACATACGAAACAGCAGCAGTATTACGCTACTATTTACAACGTGGCTCTACCACGTAATTCTTATGTAATATGAATACGGTTTTCTTTTTTCCGGATTTTTTTTTAAATTTAAAACCGTTAGAGGTAACAATGCAGCAGACTTTTTTATAACTTGTATCGGAAAGAGATCAGTCGCATGAACAAAGGCTTTACGTGTTTTCCGAGGCACGGGGCCGAAGCCAACTTACTGATTCCGAGCTGTTACTGAGAATTTCTTGAGAGAAAAACCCAATTACTGATTATGGCCCGACCTAGGATTCAAACCCATGACCTAATGATCAGTTGCGATTGCGCCTAGTCGGCCAACGCGAGGCAATCATTAATAAAGTGTGATATAAATATAATATAGGTAAATATATTATAAGGTTTTTTATGTGATAGCGGAATCCTAAAATCGAAACAATACTTTGAATATCAGATTAAAGCGACATGAAATTGTAAATAAAATTAAAAAAAAAACATAAAAAATGTTTATGAATGATGGCATGGAATGTCTTGGTATCATGTCACTCGTCTACTTGCCGCTTTTCGAACAGCATGACTTTTATTTTGTTATCCATCTTTATCATGTTCGAACGTTCTTAACTTTCGAAATCATGAACCGGAATAACGAGACTTGATGGCTACGATTAAAGAATGTTACAACAGATTCAAATTGTCCAAGTGTTTCTAGATGCGGTGAAAGTAAGACCAAAATTCGCCGCGACCGGCTCGCGAATTTCCTGCGACAAGAAGCGACGAGGTGATAATGTTTAGCGACATTAGAAGTCCCTGTAGTATCCGTTAGTTCACTTTCTAATGTCATGTTGATGTATTAATAAATGTTGTCGCTGGGTAAGTTGAAATGTCTAGATAGAGTTTAAAAACTACTACAACATTCACTTATTAATTAATTACAGCCTATCAAAAGTCCACTTCTGAACATAACCATAACCGTGTAGTGGCGGTGTAAGAATATCCACCACCACATATCATCCCGTGGGTGTCATAAGTGGCGACAGAGGGAGACAAAACAGATCGGCAGCAGCGTCTTCTTTATAACGACATCAAATAAATTATTATCTGACTGAATATTAAAGTGAAACAATTGAACTACTTTATTCATACAACATAGCTCAAAACATGCTTTGTGGCATTCCTTGGGGGTGGCCGATGTTCAGCAGTGGACTTGTGAAGGGCTGTAATGTTGATGGTGATGATGATTTATACAACTGTATTTTTTTATTATTCTATGAATTAATATTACTTGAGGTGTGAGAAAACGGTCCTTAAACTTATATTTCGTAAAATATACATTAACTTAAAAATATTGCACATTATAGAAGTAAGCTGTGCTACCCAACCGACAAACAAGCGCCTCCGTTATATCTTTAGAAACTATTGAATAAGAGCAATAATAAATCTCGAGTTAGATAGAGTTAAAGTTCTAGTGTAGTATTTTTTTTATATAAATATATGTTTTTAAAACCTTTGTAAGAAACTCGAATGGTTAAAATACTTTAACATTAAAGATGTTCTTCATAACGATTTCGTAGTTCCGTCGATAAGGATAAACATAAGACCAGAACTACCTACGATTATATTTGCGAAACATCAAACCCTAAAAACTGCCGACAAGTTTGCCTTCAAAAGCTGGCTTCGATAAATGATTCCTCAGATATCTTTAAATCATAAGGAAGCAATCAAATCGATCGATCCGAATTTGTACAAACCTTCAAGTGATCTAAAGTGACTTTTCACATAAATATTAGAATACTGAAGATACCCGCTTTGCTCTTAAAATGCATACTGAAATAGATGGAGGTATGCAGTATCTTATGCACGTATCTTTCGTATTATTTTTCTAGCTTTTTTCTATCGCTTTTATAATTTAATTTGTACTTTAACCAGCCTCACGTATTTAAAAGTTAAATTTAGTACGTATAAAAGTTTCCACCGCTTTGTCGTCGCTTTTTCAATTGCTTTGTTGTTCGTAATACATGAAGTTAGCTTGCCATGGTTCGCCTTTCCATCCGATTAAAACGTAGGTGTTTTCAATGCAAACGTGTATAGGCTTTTGCTAAAGCTAAACCGGTGCCCTTTACCGTTTAGGGCTACAACACCACTTAACATCAAGTGCAATTGTATTCAAATGTTTTGCCTTGCACGTATTGCATATATACACATACATATACGCTGCAATTCATTTATACATGCAGTACTATCAACACTAATAAAGAGACTGATAATTGTTTCTTCTTGTACTCTACCTAAATTCAGAGATAAGGAGACGAACGATTACACAGTAAACCTTGTCCAAACAGTTATTTTACTTTAAGACTAGCTGTACCCTGAGACTTTGCTCGCGGGTAATTTGTTCTTTTTTTTGCGCGGAACCCTAAATCTTTTTCTAAAATAAAAGTAGCCTAAGTTACTCCTTATAACATTAGCTATCTGCCAGTGAAAGATCTGTCAATAATTAATAAAAGCTGTTATTTTGACAATATAAACAGACACATTTATTTGTATAGATGTAGATACTTTATGAATAAAATCACTCATTTATCTACCAATTCTACATAAAAAATGTATTTGTTTTTATCTCAAAAGTACATACATTGCATCTGCAACGATAATTCGATCGGACTTTGATTAATATCTTATTCGAAGTGCGTCGGTAACCGTGAAAGGTGTGGCAATGTCAAGAGCTTTAACACAAAAAGAGCGCAAGACTATAACCCAAAGGCACGCACGGTTCGGTTCAATGGCAGCGGCCTTAGGCGAGTCAGTTGCCTTTAAAGCGTATTACCGGCGATGCAGTTTGCGTAATAGCTGTTCGGGTGTGTGCCGTAATAAGAAAAGTTGGCCACGTTCTTTTTTATTTGAACTTAGATTGGGCGGAACTGAACTTACAAATAGATTAAATAAATATTGCACCTTATAAGAAATATTGTGGATTTAAAAAAATCTTGTTTAAATTTATTTGAGGAGGCAAAGATGCAAGAGAATGTACACATGTATATAATATGTACGTTTACTTGTTTGCTTAATCGAAATTCAAAAAACCCATTTAAATTTAAGTGCCCTTTTTCAATAGAATAATAACTTCTATGTTATTTATCCATTAATTTAAAACGCAGAACTAATTGGGTAATATCCATCATCCATCCTATCTCATATCTCATAAATCTTAACAATTCAAGACAAAACAAAACAAAACCTGAACTTAGAGTAACTTACCACGCTTTCCCAACTACCGCCCACAATCGACTTGTCCAACATATTGGATGAAACACAAAGAGTTTCTTCAAACAACAACAACTACACGATACACTGTCTTAGATGCGGCTCAAAATCTTTGATGTGTGGCCAGATTTCGAAATCGGCGCGCTGGGTTTAAGAAAACGAACAGCGTACGCGGCACGTTTACACAGGGGAGATTCTGGATTTAGCACGTGTGTTCCCACTCTGAGCTTTCCTGAACGACTGAAGCGAATACGTTACAGCATCATATTTATAGGACGACTGTTCGGGAGAGGGCGGGTTTCAGGAAGACAGTGCGCTCGGATCCTCCACTTAGCACGTAGTCACGTCACCGTAATTTGGGTGTGTGTAACATTGTTCGGGGAACCCCGTCTAAATGCGTCTATCGCTTGGCCGCTGGCATTATGCTTTATTACACCTTTTTTCTATAATGTATCTATTACAGTTCGAAGATCTCTTTGGTCGTTAACTCTTTCAAATTGCCAAAGAATAATCTTTTGATCTTGTTAACTGTTTTAACCGTTTACTGTAGGTTTTGGTAAATATTGTTTTTAAAATGATATCTACATTACAAAAAACACTTGGTTATTTAGTAAATAACTTATTTAGGCAAAGTAAGTAGTATCAGCCATTCTTTATCATAATAGTTTTTATTGACTCGTAATTCTTTTTAAAACGGTAATTTTTACGTATGATTTTCATACGACTTATATGTAAATGTATCTAGCCGGCGACGGGGTGGTGGACAAATTTGCGGGGCATCTAGTATTGCGAGTGCCACACTATTACGAGCTGATAAAGAAATATGTAAGTCAAATATAGTAAAAAAAAAGTTAAAGTTGCAACCTGTAAATAGGTCCTACTGCTGGACACAGGCCTCCTCTCATTTCTGAGAAGGTTTAAGTCGAGTATGAAAATCTTCAATTAAGAAAGAGATTTTTTTATCTATTTCGTCTTGTCTTTCTTAAATCTGTCTATAGAACCCACCTTGATTGGACCGCTATTTCATACTTTCATATGAAAACATCTGTTGTTGTTACGGAACGGTTTTGTTTTTTTTATGTAAGTACGGATGACCAACGAGCACACATTCCATCTAACGGCATGTTTAAATAGTGCACTACCTATATAGCTTCTACGGGAGTAGTAATCGTTTTTACATGACTAATATGCTATAGAAATTTCAAGCGAAATGTCAGTCAAATTTCAGTAGCAGCTATAATCGTGGTAACTCTGAGACTGGGAAGCTCGCGTTAAATTTCATTGTAAACGAACATGCCGAATTCGATCTCTGCCGGTACAATTGAAATTGTAAATCGCAGTAATAAGTTGCCTTAGGTAAAAATTCTAAGTTAGCTCGTGCTAGATACATAATTAAAAATCGTACAGATAAATATATAAAAACGTTAAAGAATTTTGAGAAATTAAACAAATTGGTAAATAGGTTAAATAAATTACGAAAGTGAGCTATATTAACTTATTCTCGTAATTAACAAAAATTCATTTCTTAGGTGCCTTAGGGATTATTAACTGGCGCCAGCCTCAAACGCGAGTTCTATGAAATCATCTGTTTCTTGCAACTCGTGCCGGAAGATCGTAATATATCCTAATTACCCACCCCGGTCACTAATCGCCACACAGCCGGCCAGACATTGTATATAAAGCATACTGTTATTTAAAGCATTATTGTAGTGCTTTACCAACGGAGAAATTGCTTGGCCAATATTGTGTAATTTGATAGTGATGAGACTATGGTTGAATTGCAGATACTTTATGTGCCATTAGATATACAGCGTTAAAATTGATTTAGTTGAACAATTTTTTTTAAACGTGTGCCTATTAAAAGTCTACTGCTGAACACATAGACCTACCCTAAACTCATAAAGGTTGCCTTACTTATGGGATATTTGTCATAGTTTTTTTTTTGAGTTGTTAGGTTGTTATTAGTTTTCTCTCTGTTATCTCTTATGACAACCACGGAATGATATAAGATATCATTATTTGTGAAATAGGAATAGTATTCCCATAATATTAAACAGGTACAAGTAGTAATAGAATGTTGTTTCATAATTAAATAAAAATTTGAATAAATTACTTTGCATATAGTATAGCACACAGTTGAGTATATTAGTTATAATCGTTATAACTGATTCGATATGAATGTTTCACTGTGATGTGAACCGACAGCGTCGGCCTTCTGCACCATTGCATCCCTGTTCGTAATGAAATGCACCTGTGAAAGGTATCTTACTTGCTACAGAACGGAACAGGTTTATTTCGATGATGCCGTGCTTAGACGATTGATCACCTACGATCGTTGGCCCGTCGGAGTTCGCGCGGGGTTACGTTTTGTAGTCGCCACTGCATATATTGTATAGAAATAGAAACTTTTTTATTCAATATAGATTATGAAAAATACTTAAAACTTTTGAAAGTCATATTTATGTTTAATTTACCACTAGTTCCGAAAATACATCTGTCCTGGGAAGAACGAGCAAGAAACCTAGCTGAATTTTTTTAAAAAGAACAGTTTAAAATCATATATTATGTTACACAATTAACTACACAAAACGAATAAGAAATAGCTTAGTAGCTCCAGCTATTTTCAGGCGTTAATTCTTAAGGGATTAACCCTATGAATGTATATATATATACAACTTTGTTTAATAAGTTACAATGTTCACACTCTTCCTGTTTAAAATTAATTTATTTTTTGTTTAATATTTTTAGTCCTACAAGCGCAACTAAAATGCGCTTGTAGGACTAAAAATATTAAAAGATAAAGAGGAACCCCCGCCCTCCCTCAATTGCGTGCACTATCCCCTCTAAGATCAAAATATTTCTCAGATGTTAATGAATGTATTTTACTTCTATTTCTTATCTATTGGTATCATTATTAACGATTATGTAATTAAAATGTTTAATGATAGTTTTTATTTAATATACGGATTTTCTATGTTCTTTTTCAATACATTGAACATTTAGATCAAATCTTTAATGTATACAAATTTAAGAGCAACTTTACGAATAGTTGTTTCGACAAATGATATCCAGCATCCTAAATTTTCTAAGTGTATTTGCATTAGAATGTATATTCTAACGTTCTACGTGAACGTGAGTAAACGATATCGACGGCTTCCTTCAATTTATTTTATCATACAAGACATAAGTCTATTTACGATAAACATGTAGTGTAACTATGTTTATTCAAAAGCATTAAATTTCTAATACCAGTGAATATACATAGATTTCAAAGCATTAAATCAACATCCAACGGCGTTTAATATATTGACAAAAATCTGTACATTGATTGTATAAGCTGGCAAACTTTAACGACGCATATTATACATATTTCACTTATTTAAATGTTTGAAAATGCTAAACTGAGTCCGTCTGATGGTGAGGTGACCAGGCCGCCAGCCGCGCCGGTTCCCTTCACTCACCGGACGAAACATAACAACTGTATGCTACATTTACGCTGGTAATCTATGTGAGCATGATGCTTTCCTTTCATACTTCAGCAATTATGCACAACAGCTGCAGCACGACTCTATCAAATTGTTCGCTTTTGAATTAATTATTTAATTCTCATTTTATAGTTCTTAATCAGAAATAACTTTATTCTCAACTTTTTAAATTAAACCAAGTAATACATTAACTATATATAAATCACGAAGCTGGGCTAATGATCCTATGGTTTGACGATTGCTTCTATCCATCGGCGTTATTTACTTTACGGTTTATTTATGATCGTTGCGTGAAAGTTCCTATATCGGCACGGACGTTTTTAGTTTTACAACTGGCTGTAGGAGCCATATTGGTTGAACCTAAGTGCACTGCGCTTGGAAGATTAAATGCGCTCGAGTATTGTGTATTGACGTCATAGACTGCAATCCGATGGGCGTAGACCCCGTCGCTGACTCCGTTATGCTTGCCTTGGAAGTATCGTCTGGCATAATTAATTTGTGAAACGTTCTTTGCACGTTTTCTATGCTTTTATCGCATTATAATGAAGATTCAGAATTAATGTCAGCAGACTTTGTTTAAAGAACAGACTAGCCAAATATTGAATATAATTTTACTATGAAGATTAATTATTATACTTTATATTGTTCAGCCATATAAATGATAATGAATTTACCATATATTCGGTTATTCATTTTAATCGGTTTAGGCGTCAGAGGGAAACAAATCAAGTGAAGTGGTGTCTTCCTAATAACGACTAAAATGAAACTGCGGTTGCCAACCCGTTTGCCAAGCGTGGCAATTATGGCAAATATCTCCCCTATGAGGCAATCTATGAGGGAGGCCTATGTTCAGCAGTGGACTTAATTTTTTTTTTTATACGATAGGGTGACAAACGAGCACACAGTCCACCTGATGGTGGTGGTGAAGTGGTTCAAGATGCAGATACGTTGTCACCCGTGAGGACTAAGATGGAATGCCTCTTTGCCAGTAAAAAGGGTCTCCGGTTCTCTACACTCACCATACGAAACACTGCAGCGTTAAGCTGCTATTTTACGCTGGTTTTCTGTGAGAGCATGGTCCTTCCGCGGTCGAGCCGACCCATTCGTGCTACAACTATACTACTAATATAGCTGCAACATGGCTCTACCACGTATAAGATGAAGAAATGATGAAGAAAAAACCACGTATAAGATGAAGAAAAGAAATAGGCTGTAAATGTAAAATGTTTCCGAGAAAAACATAATAAAATCATACGCGTCAAATATTATATTACCCGATTTTTGAACTTGTTTAAAGAGACTTTTAAATCTTCATCAACTATATTCAAACAAGAATCAAATTTGTTAAGCTGGACATAATTACAAATTTTGGACATTATTTGTAGGCATTATTTTTAAATATTTTTTGGTGTCACTGTAGAAGCCTTAAAATAATTTATGTGTAATTTTTTATCCTAAGATATTTTTATTGCTAAACCCTTAATAATTACAAAGTAAATTCAAATTCTACCACTTTGAGAAATATTGAAATACATGTTACATGTAGGATAT